CCAGGAGCAAGGGAAGGAGGCTGGATTGGGTAGTGTTATCCAGCATGGTTCTCACCATGTTGACCCCCAGGAGGCATTCTCCCATACAGCCACTGAGAGACAGCGATCAGATGGCTCTTCACCCCAACATGTGGATTCCTCTAGTGCTGAGAAAGATGAGGCTGGCACATATAGCGACTCAACAGAAACCGCTTCAGACTGTGAGAATGAAAGCCAGGAGGAAGAGCAGCAGCAGCAGCCTGGCCACGAATGGTGTCCTCAATTGAATACTCAGAGAAATGGCCAGCTGGTGATTTGTAGCCCTCCTCAGAACCAACAACCGGTCATCCAGACCCACATGACTAGCCGCCACGGCCAGACCGTCATTCAGCCTTGCTTCCCCAGCAGCATGACTCAGCCACAACACAGCCGTATCCATTCACAAGACTCTAATGCTCTGTCTGCACCCCTGCCACAAGGGCTAAGGGACACAACTGTTGTTAAAACTGAGTCTGGAGATGACTGTAGAGACTCCAGACTGAGCTCTGAAGAGGAGTGTCATGGAGCTTTAAAGTCTCCTGCCACTCACTCAAATGCTGCATCTGCCTCCAAAAGACTGGCCAGTTCAGTCAGACTTGTGTCCAGTGTGGAGGCCAACAACCCTTTGGTCACTCAGTTACTTCAGGGCAGCCTGCCTCTGGAAAAAGTTCTACCCTTACACTCTGCCAACAGACTGGAGATTAGCAGATTACCAGGAACCCTGCCCAGGCCACCAGCAGCAAGAACCCCAGGGACTCGTAACAGGCCTGAGGTTTCAGCCAAATCTTCAAGCCCAGAGCTGACTACTCCAGTCCAGATCCATAAGTCCCCAACATCCCGCCCAGTTTCCTGTCTGATGGAAGCCCCAGCTGTACCGCAGTATCATTCATTCCAGGCCCCTGGAGCTGTTCCAGTCATCACCCCTCTGCCACCCTCCTCCAGCGGTTTATTGTCCTCCAGAAGTAAGCAAGACCTCATGTCTGGGTCTGCTGTGGAGTCTGCAGTTATCAAAGAGTCTCATGGTCAGCAGCCTTCCCAGGGAGCCACTCCAGACAGGCCTCAGTCAGCCCATCGGACCATGTGCAATGGACCCTCTCCTCCTCACGCAGACCCCTGCCCAACAGAGGTGATACCTTGTATTAAGATTAACTGGCGTCCCCCTCAATCTCAGCTTCCCCACTCTCTGCAACAACCCCCGTCTCCTGCACCCACTGTAAAGAACGAAGTTGGTGCACGGCCCTCTTGTCAAGCTATTGCCAAATCCTCACTCAGTGTACCCTTAAGTGTTACCAAAAAGGAACCTGGAAACTCTGTCGATGGCTATCTAAGCGGCGGGGCAATAGAAGGACTCATCAACATGGAGTTTACTTTGGCCAGGATGGCAAAGAAAGATCACAGCAAAGCTCCCTACTCCTCTGGCTCTCCCTCTTCCTCCTGTTCTCCCTCACCCTCCGCTCCCTCCCTTCCCTTCCATCTTTATGGGAAGCTCCCCAAGCAGGGTGGAGGAGTTGGAGGGGTAAGCTACACGGCCAATGTTTCAGTGATGGACAACAGCAGTTTCTCCCGGAGCATGGCAGACAGTGTGCTGCAGCTGCACCCCCGCTTGGGTCCCAGCCAGACTACCCTCAGCATTCAGGCCTTTACTGACAGTACGGCAGAGGAAGTGGCACTCAAGTGCTCGTGCCGCCTCAAAGCCATGATCATGTGCCAAGGCTGTGGTGCCTTCTGCCATGATGATTGCATCGGGCCCTCCAAACTCTGTGTGTCATGTCTGGTGGTCAGATAGTATGCTGAAGTTTCAGTGCACTGTAGAACTGCTGTTTGTATAGTGTGAGCAGCAGGGCCGCAGCTTTCAGAGTGTTGCCAGAAACCTAAGTACGGTAGAGAACACAGGAGAAGCCAGATGGTCAACATTTGCCTTGTAAAATATGACTGGTCTGTATTGTTGCAGATTTCCTGTTTTTGTTTAAGCTGTACTGATTATTATTGTTGTTATTGTTGTTGTTATTATTATTATTATTAATTATTATTATTATTATTATCATTATTATTATTATTATTATTGTGCATTGGGGCATGATTGATTGTAAATTGTGCCTTTTTTTTTCTCCTCAAAAACATTTACCTCATCTTATCTTGCTCCACCTGTTATCATTTGGTGGCCATCATTTTTTTGGTCCCGTTTGTCAGTCAACGGGGAATTACTGTTGTCTCTGCGCAAAGAAGTATTTTTTTAACCATTAAAATGAGTAAATGACATTGTATCACCAGTTTGTTTTTTTTGACTCATTTTATGATTCCGTTGAGTTGACTAGTTTGTAGTTACAGTTAATTACCAAGAACAAATAAAGTGAACGTTATGTACTGTTAAAATTTGAATCCTTGATAACTTTCAGAGTTTTTACCAGCAATGGGGATTGTGTTAAAATACTGCACCTGCCACGTGGCAGGAGCAGCACAGGACTGGCTGGAAGAACACAATGATTTCAGGGTATCCACGGGATGTGCCGGAACAAGCCAGAGACCGGATGCAACCAACTGCACCCTAAGGATCTGCTGCCAGCATGAAATGGGACCCTGTGCCCTGAAGTGTCAGAGCTGATTGGTGATATGAGACAGAATTTGTATTCATTTTTGTATTTTTTTTTCGCGTTAAAATAAATTGTAGGCACAGAAACGGATAAATCAGTCAGACTGTACCAGTATAAACAGCTATACACACATTTCAGTAGCTAAAGGATAACCAAGGAGTCTGCTTCATACTCCAGAGTTGGTGATGGGTTTCTACACCGTTCTGTGCTGGGATCTGTATAATGTACTTTCTGCACTGTACATGGCCCCTAAGGTAGTGTTATTAGAAATGTTATGAGAGAACAGTGCATATGTTTTCTTTGCTATGCACATTATCCACACAATCCTGGACACTTGTTCAAGGCATCTTTCAAAGTCAAAGACCTGGAAGCATTATATCTAATGAAACAGACTATAGCATGTAGTTAAGGCTGCAGTAGGTGACCCTGAATCCTCCCGTAATTGTGCTGTGGCTGCTGGGGTTTCCCATCATGTACTGAGTGTTTCTTCTTCACTCACCATGTCTTTGTACATCACTCTGCATTGAATTATTAGTTATTATTAATCTCTGGCACTCTTTCACTGTGTGTCTTTGTCCTGTCTCCCGTCCTGCACTCCCTACCAGTCACAGCAAATGGTTGCCCCTCCCTGAGCCTGGTTCTCTAAAATATTTTTTTCCTGTTTAAAGGGGAGTTTTTTCATCGCACTGTTGACAAGTGCTTTCTTACAGGGGGCCGTTTGATTGTTTTCTCTAGTATTGTTATTGTAAGGTCTCTATCTTACAATATAAAGCACCGCAAGGCAACTGTTGTTGTGATTTGGTGCTATATAAATAAAATTTATATCAGATGGATCTGTATGTTTGATTTGGATTTTATTCCAGATAGTGTTCCTGATGCAATTTATCTGAGGATTGGGACCAATAGGAGGACACTAGCTTGTGATCGCATGGGGTCAGGTTTTTGTATCTCGAATAAAATTTAAAATCCTTCTTCTTTCATAGGATATGATGAAACCTGATATCTTAAAGACCTTTTAGTACTGTATTACCCCGACAGAGCACTTGCTCCCTCAAATTTCTAGAAGTAGAATGTGAGGCAGAACCTTCAGCTACCAGGCTCCCAGTTTGGTTTTGGCTGAAACCCTTGCTACTTTGAAAGTCACTTGGTTATGCTATATGCACAGGCACTGTGGTGGACTTTCCTTGTTGCGCTGAACATTTCTTCTCCTTTCACCTCTATTTAATCCTGATAGTTATATATGTCATTACCACACGTCATTAATGTTTGTCTCCTCTCTCCCCTTGTGTTTTGGTCTTGCATCTCTTTCCTTTTGTTTTTCTCTTAACCCACCAAAGTAGGGACAGGCTGCCCCTCTTTGAGTCTGGTTCCGCAGAAAGTCTGTTCATGTTCAAATAAAACAACAAGAGAAAACACAGTTATTCCTTCCCATTGTTACAAAGTGCTGCTCATGGAAGTTTTTCCGATTGTTGGGGTATCTCTCTTATATTGTATATAGTATAAAGCACCTTGAGGTGACGGTTGTTGTGAAGTGATAATGTATGAATAAAAATAAACTGAACTGAATACAAGAGAATATTGGAAGTATACTAGAAATAGTCAAGGAGCTTGGAAAGAAAAGCATCTGGACTTTTAAGTTGCTTGAAGACGTTTCACCTCTCGTCCAAGAAGCTTCTTCAGTTCTAGGGTCAAATGGTGGAGAGTCCCAGATTTAAGCCCTATGGGAGTGTCCCCAAGAGGCTCATGGACCCCCCTATTGATCCTCTACCTAATCAGACGAGAGACAGATGGCAAACTGTGTTGTAAGCTGCCCCCTCTTCAAAGGTGGTTGTTCACAGTGGACATAGATGGCTTCTTTCACACCACCTGTTTTCTCTGTCCAAAATATGAACATTGGCATTCTTGAAAGAGTGGCCTTTGTCCTTTAGATGCAGATGGACTGCCAAGTCTTGTCCCATTAAGGTGGCTCTTCTATGTTGTGTCATGCATTTATGAAATGGATGTTTGGCCTCTCCAATGTAGAGGTCTGAGCGTTCTTCGCTATAGAGGATCAATAGGGGATCCATGTCTTTCTTGGGGTACACTTCCATGGAGCTTAAATCTGAGACTCTCCACCATTTGACCTTAGAACTGAAGAAGCTTCTTGGATGAGAGCTGAAACATCTTCAAGCAAGTAAAAAGTCCAGACGCTTTTCTTTCAAAGTTCCTTAGACTACAATGACCAGGATGACTGAGAACCTTCACAGACATATACTAGAATTACACAAAACCTTGACCACAGAGTCAGTTCTAACACTGATTGTGGTTTTCCAGAACCTTTAAGAGGTTTTAGCAGTAAAAGACTGTTTTACTGCTAAAAGACCTGGAAGCATACACTCAGTCCAGTCCATATTCATTTTGGGTTGACCTTTATTTCAAGAGCAAACATAAAGACTAATCCATACACAGCCATCATTAACACATAGACAGTACAAAATAAATATTCACCATCACTTTGTTCATCATTACCAGATAAATACTGAAATATGTGCAGCTCAATTTTCCCAGTGTATTGCAATGTACTCAAAATAGCTTGTGGAAAAAAGAAAACTCATATAAACAGAAGCACAAAAGATTTTTTAGAAAATTATTAAAAAACTTTCTGTTACAAAATATTTGCACTTAAAAAGATCCCAGTGTTTTAAATAAATAATAAGATATATAAAACAATTCATAGTTGATATCTTAAAATATTTCCTCTTTGTTAAGCGGTGCAGAGGAAATGACTCCCTTCTCTTAGTTTCCGGTTAAAATCTTCTCAGGTAGCACTTTGAAATAAAATAAAATCAATAATGAATAATAGTCAACATAAAAATATTACCGCAGACATGAATAAATAAGTTATTAAACCAACATTTGCAGTCGACTTAAATAGATACACAGCAATAGTAACAATGAATCTACAAACTAGTCCTGGAAGTGCAACATCACTATGCTCATATAGAATACTATCAACATTACTGAGTGGAGATGGGAAATGTTCACTAACTAAGAATCTGCTCAGCTCAGGCGGGATACTGCACTCCTTTGTTCTGTACTCTCTGTGCCTGTCTGTGTATACCTTGAAGTGCCGTTGCTTATGGCAACAGTTTGCTTTCAGTGTGCCTTGACACGCTTTACATCCACACATCTGTTCACGCTCACACCTTTATAAAGCAACATGCAAACAGGAAACAAATGCAAAGAACAGAGGACAAAACTCCAATGAGAAAAACTCATGACACAGAGTATCTAAAGGGTTTGGAAAAAAAGATTGGTGGCGTCACCGTGATGCCCTGCCACCTGTTGTCCTCCAGTTTCTCTTACACCTCGATGCCCTTTACTGCCTGATTGATGGACTCTAGCAGAGCCCGGTTCTCGGGGTTCTGGTAGCAGTCTTTGTTGGTAAACATGTGGGTCAGGGTGTCCACATAGCTGTCAAAGTTCTGCTCTGATAGTGGCTCCTGCCAAAGACACGCACGTCAAGAGAATAAAAAGGTGTAACACCCAAAACAGTGCTAGTACACAATACTACTCACATGTTTTATCTCTTAAATGTATGCTATCATTAGTTTTCTTTGAGAGAGACACTTGCATGGGGTTTAAGTTATCAGCTGCTTTAGGCTGACTGTTCTATTGTACTGAAGCTATGCTGTAAAAAACATTCATCGCACAGGGTTGCTTACTGACAAACATTTGATTTGGGTAAAAATGCTAATTTGGAAAAAATGAAAGAAAGGCTATTTGATCTTACTCTATAAATCTTTTTAGACTAAAGTCTTCAAGGGGTTGAACCCAAGTTGAATTTCAAGTGAAATGTTTAAAGCTGCTGAAATAAGGAAGATGCTCAGGTCTTTTTTCTTAAAAAGCAGCAATGCTTACCATGGTAGGCAGGCTGATGTTGGCTAGGCTCCGGATCAAAGCCTGACTAAGGCCAGATAGCTCCAGGAACAAGGCCTCATTCCTTTCTTCTATCTGTTTATTCTCCTCCTCCATGCTCTTCAGGTTCTTCTCCATAGAAGAAATCTAAAGCAGAGAAGGACGCAACACATTTCTGAAGTAGCACCACCAACAGCTCGACAACTACAAACCCAATTCCAAAACTACTGGGATGCTTGTAAAATAGAAATGAAAACAGAATGTAATGACTGGCAGATCTCATAAACCCATATGTTATTCACAGCATATTCATAGCTTCTTTGTTGGTTGAACGGATGGAAATGTGTTTACAGACAGTGAAACTGGGTCCGCTGCCATAGACCGGCAAGCCTGGAAGTCATTCTTGCGAATGCCTGTTTTGTGGGTGCCAGGAAAAGTGGTGTTCAAAGACATTTTTCTGGTGCTCAGTGTGAGCTGTGACGGCGTTTAAAGCGCAGTTTTCTTGAAATTATGCAAGGACATCCCCATGGTTCTCTCATCCAATTATTTTCAACTCCTGTCACCCAATCAAAGAAGAAGTAGTGCAAACAACACAAATTCATCACCTGCTAAGTGACTGCTTATGTTTATCTGTTCTGTACCAATCCTTGTCACAGTTTTTACTTGTATACTAATCCCACTATGCATTTTGATGTCTTTAAAGCATAATCAAGCAAACAAATGACAGAATGCTTTGGTGACCTTAACTTTTATCAAAGTACAGTTTTGCTCCATTTAAAGTAATGCCACTGTATAATAACCCCCAATTTTAATAATATTATTAACAGCACCTCAAGAATATTTTTGCCCTTTCAACATCCATGTGTAAAAACCTGATATGCAGTTTGGAATTAGACCTTTATGTATATATATGTACTCACATGTTAACTAAACAAAAGAGATGGAATTTAGAGAGGCCATGTGTTTGTTTGGACGTTTTCTGAACTATGATGTCAATAAGTAATTTAAAGAACAGAAAATGGGGTGGCTGTAGCTCAGGAGGGAGAGCAGGCCATCTGCTGATCGGAAGTTTGGTGTTTTGATCCCTGGCTGCCCTTACTCTGCACCCCAAATATCCTTGGGCAAGATATCAACCCCAAGTTGCTCTAATTAAAATTGCATTCATCAGAGCGAGAATGTGTGTGAATGGTAGTTAGTAAGCATGCTTGTGTAAATGGGTGTGAATGGGTGAATGTGTCATGTTGTATAAAGCGCTTTGAGTACTCTGGGAGAGTAGAAAAGGCCAGATAGCTTCTCTTCTCTTTGGCTCTCAGCGAAGGTGGTCGCACTTTTCTCCTCTCCTCCTTACCCTTATCTTCCCTGCTTAGCCTCTGTGTCCTTGTCTTGTCTCATGTGCATTACTTTCCCTGGAACAGTCTCTCACTGTCGATCTCTAAAACCTAAAAGAGAATTATGGATTTGATCAACTGGTCTCTGAATGCTATTGACACCCTTTTCTCAACGAGAAGTCTGGGCTTGGGAGAGCCCGAGTGCCCTGGAGGGACTTTCCCTGCCGGATACACGATGGACGGGTGGCAGAACTGGAGAGTCATGTGCCTGGCGGGACTGTCGATCGAGGACGCTGAAGATATCTACCTATTTGGAACCATGATAACAGGGTTCTTGCTGATCGGAGCTGGCTTGGCCCTGACTTATCGGAGAATTGAGAGAGCGGAACCGGCTGTTCAAACCACCCCAAGGCTGCCCGCTGGAATCGAAGCGACGGGACGAGGCGCGACCTCTCACAACGAACGCAGCATGGTTAACACCTTGTAGACGCTTACAACTGCTTTGAAGGCTCAAAACAACACCATTGAGCGTATGGTGGGATACATCAGAGAGGGCCCTGCTCAAGATGAGAACCTTGAGTGAAAGTTGGATCACATCACAGAACGGATCACTGCAGTTGTGAGGTCTCAGAATCAAAAGAATGACAACACCACGGAACAGAAGTTTGATACCATCATGGGGAGGCTCGCGGCTCTCCAATGGGAGATCGAGAGACCAGTGTCCGAGTGTTAAAGAACAGCTTTGAAAATTCTCCTGAGCTGCTCGCATGAAAGAAAATCAACAAATTCGAGATCATAATGCAGACACCACCACGGCGCCAGCTGCAGGCCCAAGGCTGAAGCCGGACAAACACTCCCTGATAAC